CCCTTAGCTGGAGCAGCCCTTGACCGACAGAAGTGCTTCGACTACCTCATCACGGACATCTGTCTAAACCTTGCGCTGCACGCGGGGTGCCCACAAGACATCGTTACTGTCCTCCGAAACTTCTACAGACACCACAAACGCTACATCCGCATGAACGGTAACTGAAAAAAAAAAAAAGCGTAAAAAATAAAAAAAAAAAAAAAAACACAAAGAAAAAAAAAAAAGCGTAACTCCCACAAGAAACAAAGCTCAAAACCCAAACAATCAAAACTCCAAAACAAAACAACACAAAAAAAAAAAGGGACCTGGCCAGGACAAACGGTCACCTCCAGGGCATCTCGTGGTCCCTGGATGACATCAAGCTGCTCATGTGCGTGTGGACAAAGAGGCAGCACCGATACGTTCCTCGATCACTCAGCACTACCTTCGTTGACGACAGCAACTCCACTACCCACACCGCTCCTGAGCTGCAGAAATCTCTCGACGAAACCGCCAAGTTTGACCGATTCTCCGGTCAACGCATTCACCCGGGTAAAGTGGCAGGGTGGGCGCTCACCGATGAGCTGCACGCCGCCGTCACCCAGCTCACACTGGCGGATCGCCCCCTCCGAGTGGTCGATTCCTTCAAAAAAAAAAAAAAATAAAAAGAAAATAATAAAAGAAAAAAAAAAAAAACAAAAAGAAAATAAAAAAAAAAAAAAAAAAGAAATTGAAAAGAAAAAAATAAAAAAGAAAAAAAAAAAAAAAAAACTAAAAAACAAGAAAAAAAAACAAAAAAAAAAAAAAAACAAAAAAAAAAAAAAAAAAAAAAAAAAGAAAGAAAGATCGTACGGAATTACATCACGCCGAGGCAGCTCCGGCTCCAGCCGCGCTTAACCTCACGTCCACCGCAGACGCCCGTGTGCGGAGGGCGACTACCCGCCTGCCGCGCATTGGCAAGCTCCCGTCGCCGATGCTTATCAAGGCGCGGCACGCCCGATCCCTGGCCGCCAGCGTCTGCACCACGGGCACCGACATCCAAGCACCATCAGGCCCAGCCAAGACTGCCTACAACCACGCCCTCAAGGCGGCTATACGCCCCAAGGGGAACAAGTGTGTCGAGTTCTGGACTCTCATGGCCGTGTGCGTGCCGGGACACGCCCTTGAGATCGACGCCATCACGCAGCGTGAAGCATTCCTGTGCCTGCGGCGACAGGCTAACCGCGACGCTACACTCTGCGGGCTCGCCAGAGACCTCCAACACCACGTCCAGACCCTGTTTGGTGGAGGACCCGTCGGGCGACTCGTCCAGTCGCTCCAGCAGCTCCGATGGACCTGGCCCACATTTGGCATCATGTACGTTGACTGGGGCTGCCCGATCAGCTGGCTGAATCTACCCCAAAACGCCTTCCTGCACATGCTGCGGGCCTCACAACGCAGG